GCCATCACTCTGGGGCTGCTGGGGTTGTAGTGTGGCTGGAGAGGAGGTTCTGCCAGTATGGACAGCTCCTGTGGGACAGATCTTGTGGTGGTGTTTCATGAAAGGTGTAGGGTGATGTAGGAAAGGAGGTGTCGCCACAGTCGGCAGCTCCTGAGGGGCGGCTCCTACTGAGACAGGAAAGGTAGTGCATCACCGTGGACAGCTCCCGCAGCTCAGTTCCCACAGCTCCTATGACAGCTACAGGCTGAGGAGATGTGGTACAGTAATTTTTGATAGGAACTACAATTTTGGACAGCTCCTGTGGGGCATTTTACTGCCATGTTGAAGGCTGGGGAGGGAAAGAGGGGCCTGCCTCCGCTTGGACGGCTTTTATGGCGCAGTGGCTTCTGTGGTGTGCTGCTCAGGGACTGTATTGACTATTGTTTTGGCAACAGTCTAGGTTGTTTGGGGATGGGATCCCTTTGGCCAACTACTCAATTGGATGTGACCGAGTCCTGGGTGGTTTGGTGACATAAGACAGTCAGCTGTGACTCCATCTCCCTCATTATCCAGAGCCTACATTAGATTCACCTTTAGATACATTAGAACGTTTCTGCTGCACTAGGTTTTCATGCTATAAAAGACTTATTTATTCTAGCTAGCCCATATAAATGACCAAAAGCTTGGTATTTCATTTGACAAACTGCAAGCCTAGATTGGGCAGGTTTTGAGCTATTGTAACTTACATCCGGTCCATAGGCCCCGTGTTACCTGCTAGTTGAGTCTCACTCAGGCTGCCTTTGCTCCGTCAGCATGTCCTCAGGCTGTACTTCTGGCCACACCCTCGTGGTCCATCTTCTTTCATGGTGGCCTCCTCCTCCTCTCTCTGTCTTCCTCTCCTTTCTTTCGTGGTCCCTACCTGCAGCCCTCAGCCTGATAACCGAAACCCCGCCTACCTCTGTTCTCCCCAGTGTCTGTCTACACTTTTATTCAACCAATAGTTTTAAATGGGGAAGCAAGGTCTACACAGCAAAGGCTGGTGTACATAAGATCTCACTCGTCTGAGGGCAACCAGACCTTGAGGTGCAGAATTTAGCATTTGTGTCCACAGCAGCACACAAACCACTCCTGAAATGCCCCTCGATTCTGGGGACTCTCCCTTCGTTCCTTCCTTCAACCCTGTCTCCCCTGCCCCTCCTCACCTGACTCTACCCCCTTTCACCCCATCCCCACCCTAACCATAAATCTATTCCATTTGTCCCTCCCACAGAGATAGAGCCGTGTGTGCCCTCCTAGTCTCTTCCTCTACACCTGGCCCCTCTGAGTCTAACTAAGGTTGTAGCTTGGTTATCATTTACCTAATGGCTAATATCCACATATAAGCAAATACATACCATATTTATCTGTCTGTGTTACCTCATTCAGGATGATTTTTTTCTCCAACTTCTACCCATTTGCCTCCAAATTCTATGATGTCCTATTTTGGTTTTGTTTTGATTTTTAAAACATTTATTTATTTTCTACATGTATGAAGGTGAGGACGTGCATCCCACAGTGTACCCATGGAGGACAGCTGTGGGAGTCAGGTCTCTTCTTCCACCATGTAGGTTCTGGGGATCAAACTCAGGTTGTCAGCCGTGGTGGCAGGCTCTTTTACCCATGAGCCCATCCACCAGGCCCTGTGTACACAGCAGCAATCTTGAAGGACCAGCAGTGCAGTCAGTTTCTTTAAATGAGCACCATGATGTCAGATTTTTAACAGCTGAGTAATACTCTACAGTGTAAATGTACCACATTTTCTTTATCCGTTCTTCTGTTGAAGGACATGGAGGGTTTTTCCAGTCTTGGACTATTATGGACAGACAGCAGTGGACATGGTTAAGCAAGTGTCCTTCTGATACCAATTCCTCTCTTCCTGAGGAAGACTACCACGTTGGCTGTATAAGTTTGCACCTCCCACCAGCAATGGAGGAGCGTTCTCCTTCCTCCACATCCTGGCCAGCATAAGCTGTCACTTGTGTTATTGATCTTCACCCTTCTGACAGGTGTGACATGGAATCTCAGGCCTGTTTTGATTTGCATTTCCCTGATGGTTAAGGGTATTGACTTTTTTTTTTAAGTGTTTCTCAGCCATTTGAGTTTCCTATATTGAGAATTCTCTATTTAGATCTGTACCCCAATTTTTAGATTGGTTTGTTTTTGTTTGTTTGTCTGTTGGTTGATTGATATCTAGCTTCTTGACTTGCCCATCTGTTGGTTTGAGAGGTCTTGGGGTTTATTTATGGATCTCCTTAGCATCCTACTTGTGAGGGCTCAGGATCCCATTCTGCTCAGAAGAAAACACACCACTTTAACAGCAACGCCCACCAAACCAAGCAAGCTAAGAGACATACTGACAGCGATTGAAGCCAACTAATGCATCATCAGTGATCATAGAAATAAAATGGGGAGTAGTATGTACTATGAAGTTAAATGCTGTTTGAGGTAAAAAAAAAATGAGAATAGTGAGTGAATGGAATAAAGAGATGGGGAAGGGAGAGGGTGAAAGAAAGAGCAAGGTTATACCAAAGAAAGGAAAGGAAGCCACAGGGTGTCTGACCCAGGAAGGAGAAGACAGCAAGAAATAAGGAAACATCTGACTGGCAAGAGAGGAAAACCTCAGCAGCCAGATCAGATGAGTGTAGCAAGAAGGATAGAAACTAAAATTCTCTAAAAGTAATAGAAAACAAAATACTGCCAGGCATATAATCTCCCACCCAACAGCATTGGAGCCGCTTTTTGGGATCTTCTAAGATTGGAGTCTACTTGGGGAGGGGTGTCAGCTGAAGTTGGAATCTCCTGTCTACTGTGCCGTTTGGACTGGCCAGGTGTCATGCATCTCCCGGGAGAAACTCTCTTTTTGGTACTTACACAAAACTGAAGTTGAAAATCCCATCGTGACCTCAGACTTGCCGAGCCCAGTTGTCTTGGAAGTAGAATTGGTGACTAAGGCAAGACGAACCATCTACTGTCCCCCTTCCAAAAAGACACCAGTTTTGTGAATGGGTATTATTTAGAATCCAAAGAATGTACTGGCCACATCCTAAATACTTAAGTTTATTAGCTATATTCTCAGTCCTTTAAGAGCAGTTTAAAAAAGGAATCAAAGACCCTAATACAGTTCAACCCAAAGATGCACTAATTTGTTACTTTGACATCCTGAGAGCTGACAGAAAATATGAAAAGGCTTTTTGTTCCCAATTAAACAATTATATTTCTGTAAAAACAAGTACCCTTGTATGCCCAGTAAAAAACACTTCAGTTTGTTGAGTGTATAGTGGTCTCCAATGTGAGTGCTTCGGACAGGGCTCGTTTATTGCATTTCGTTCATTGCATTTTGTGTGTCATGGCATGCACAGTAGAGTGTACATGTTATGTGCTCAGAACCAGCTTTGTCATTGATGTGTTTATAAAGAGATAAAGAGTATGTTCTGTGGGTGTGTGGAGAGGTATGGGGGAAGGGGGTGTCTCACGGGCCCATGCAGAGGCATCTCTTCCCCCTGAGGGACCAGCCACACACCGGTATAGCATAGAATAGAGTTTATTCAGGGCATGGGGAGGGGAGCCAGGAGGGTAGTAGAGGAAGAGAGAGA